GGTGAGTGGTGTGATTGCATCCTAATTAACTTCATTACCGCAAATGGCCTTAGGGCATAAAATTGAACTATCTGATCAAAATTCTATCTAATTGTACGCAGTATTGAAAGAAACAATCAATCTGATAAGAAATTGCTGCGACTTGTTTTGAAAATGAGGCGTATACGGTTACCAGTTTTAGCATCATTTGTACCATTATTGGCGACTTTATTGCCTGCACCGGCAAAATGGAAAAGTACCCAATGTTTCAAAGAAATCACAAAATTTGTATTACTTTTTCAAAAAATAAAAAATGATCATACTTCATTTTTATGAGATAATACATGAAGCTCAAGACCAGGTTCTGGAATTTGAGCTTGATATAAATTTTCTAAAAATGATTTCACTTCTTTTGATTTTTCAATCTGAAAAAGAAAAAAAATTCAGAAAACTGAAACATCTAAAAATTAAACAGTTAATAAGTTGAGAAAGTAATCTATTTAAAAAGTAAATTATAAACATGCAAAGTATTCCAATTTAGAGCATGCCTTAAATAACACTGACAAAATTTTAAAACTAATATATAACTAAAGTAATAAAGCCTACATTAATTTTTAAAAAGTTCCAGTTTCAATTTTAAAAGAGGCATTTTCAGACATCCAATAATTATAGATTTATATATTGAATGATTGCAAAACTTTGTGTCACTTTCACAAGCGGTAGAAACATAACAAACATGCCAGCACCGATGCTCATTCTATAGCCATGCACCATACCATTGGAAAGAGAATAATTAGTAAATTTAGAAGCAAATATCATTAACTGAAGTCAATTTGTACACAACAGCAAGTTTTCAATTTAACAAAATACAGAATAAGAAGTTACATTTACATCTTCATATGCTTTAAAAAGGAGTAAATCTTAGAACTATAATCTCCCCCCCCCCGAAAAAAAAAACTTGAGACATATATTTGAACTAAGCTACTGCTGTCAGCTTAGCAAAAAACTGGTTTGGTATTTCTTAAAATGGAACTTAAACTCCACTTCTGACATCCTTCTAGCAAAAATGATGACATTGTTCATGCTAAACCAAGGGTTATAATTAAAGAAATTAGTAAGAGGTTTAAGACTGGCAATAAACCTCCATGAGTTATAAAAATCTGGATTCAATTCTAAGCTTGACACATCGATACTCTAATGTTTGATGAAAAAGAATTGACTGAGCAGCCATTTGTCTACTTGATGACATAGTTGTTTTTAAACTGCACAGTGAAACAAACAATGAAAAAAGAATCTGGCATAAAAATATTCAGGGAAAAAGAAGCTGAAAACAAGCAGGTGAAACTACAGAAGCTATAACAAGAGCTGAATTTTATCTAATGAAAGTACTGCTATCTGTTTGGTGGAATCAGAATTTTTAAACTTCTTCCATCTGAAACAATTATGGTGGAATTATTTAGTTAATGTTATGGTGGAATTATTTAAGTACTCAAAATAACTCATCAAGCTTAAGGAGAAATTTACCCAAAATTTTCAGTTTGAGCCACACACAAAAAGGTAATCAAAAAAAAAAAAAAAAAAAAAAAAAAAAAAAAAAAAAAAAAAAAAAAAAAAAAACCACCATTCATCAAGAAAATGCCAATACTACCCGTTGTCAAAATGATGTTTAAAAATCAAAGGAATTAAAATGGAAAATTCCTCCAATAACAATCATATTCTACATATTTTTCTGTTTGAGATTTTAGTATCTATTGGTCTTTACAACACAGTTTAAATGGCGAGGAGTTTGAATGGGGATTATCCAGAAGCTGTCAAAAAAATCATGTCTATAAAGCAGCAATTTACAAACTTGTAAAACTTAGTAACATGTTATGGAAAATTACGGCATCTATGTCACACATAGAGAAAACTATTTTCGTTCAGCTTTGATTACTTGTCCTTCTCCAAACTATGCATAAATTTTGCAGTCATCCAATACACATCTCAAAATCTAAATAAACTATTTTAACAGTTATAGACTACCAATTCACAGAGGAAAATTTTTACACATTCTTTATTTTGTTTAAATCTGGCATTATTATATTTGTAATTGTAAATCAAGCAAATGATTAAAAATAGCATTACAATTTGTTATGAAATAACTATGGAACCAGAGATGGATATTTTTAGTTAGACTACATAAGGGCAGACTTCTGAGATTTAGAAAATAAATTAAAAATATGCAGAGTGCTAACCTTTTCTTTATTTGATAATTCTGCTACATGATTTAGAACCTTATAAAATACTTCATGCCATGGAAGGTAACTGAAAAGAAATAGAATAAAAATAAAAGTTTGCACAAAACATTTTGCTTAATTAAAATCAGAAAACATTAAATTAAGAAGTTATCAATGTGTACTTTTATGAAAAAATAATCAGCAAAGTAAAATTAACACTTTTGTTTCAAATAAATACAGTGCCCTACACTAAAAAGGTTCATTCAGAAGGACAGAAGATATAAAGATAAAACAGAACATATGTATATAAAAAACTGTTGGGTTTCACAAGGGTATTTTTTCAGCCACATAGAATGCTTAGAAGATGAGAAAAAGTAGCACAATGTAAATGGCTCAGGAAATGAGAACATTGCCACAGATGACAGCACAAGCAGTTAAATATCACACCCATGAAATACACAGTCTACAATATATTAAACAATTAAAAAAAATTCTTGAGGAACAGTATTAGTTAACTTGGTCAGTAAGTGAAATCCAGCATTGGCAGATTTGATTGCATATGATATCCAATGTGGTCCCACAAATTTTCAATTGGAAACAAACTGAGCAATCCTGCAGACAATAGCAGCACTTGAACATTTTCAAACACTAATCTAGAAACTCTAGCAGTGTGTAAATGGACATTACCTTACTGAAAAATTAGACATTATAGACCATGAATGGCAATTACATGGCATGCATGCCAAACTTGGTACAAAATACTTGGTACCTGGTAGAAATTTTCTTTGCATGCCAAAATATTTTTTAAATATCTATGAAAATAAACAGTATAATTGGAAGAATATTCTTTCTATGTCACTAAGTGACATTCAGTATCATATTTACCCACCTTGTGTTTTTCACAACTCTGTATGGAGTTGGATATAGTAGATCTGGCAACACTGTACTGTTCAGACCAGTACAGTAATGTTATGTTTTGTTTATTTAGGGCAGTGCGTGAGCTTAAATAAACTTTTACTAGTAGAATTTATTAATTATTAAGTTTGTGCTTCACTATAAATATAAAAATTACTATGAAAAAATAATTAAAGTGGCATTAATAAAAAAGCAGAAACTGCAGGATGTAAGAAACTTTGCAAATACTTGGACTGTTGATTATGGCTTTGTTATACATGAACATAAAAGCCATTGTGGTCTGTGTTCTGAAATTACTGTAAGTTTTATTACCAAAATTTAGGGGGGGAACTACATTAATATTACGGAAGTTAGTTCTGAAATTTATCAAATGATATCTAAACAATCAAAAGTATTTTTGGATGATGAGTTTATAGAAACAGTTATTTTAAAAGCTGCCCATAGGTTGTTTCAAGATTTCAATACTAAAGAAAGGATTATTCAAACAATTCAAGAATTGGAACTAAATAGAAGCACTTCTAAAGTTAGGATTTTAAAAATGAAATAATAATAATTTTTATCAACTATTCAATGACATTAATAGCTGTGATTATATCTCAATTTGTCTAAACGAAACAACTGATATAAAGTCATCTGCCAGATTAGCAATTATTGCACATTTTCTAAATGAGAATGAAATGCAGAATAAAATACTTAAAACAGATTAAAAACATATATATTTCTGTTATTATAAATAGAGTTCCTAGTATGATTACACAAGACATAAGTTTTATTAATTTATTTTAAAATGAAGTTGGTCATTAAAGAACAGGCTTTCAAAACATTATTAACTAGTGGTTTCAAAGAATTATACGAAAAAGTTAATCAAATCATATAGTTACATGAGACATGCATTAAAGACAAATAAAAAATTTTTAAAAAGATGTTGACTGCAAATATAAATGCTCTTTTAATGTGCAATAACATACATTAGCTACGCTGGGCAACATTTGTTAATTACTTAGAAGAAATATGCCTTTTTTAGATGGTTTAAATAGATCTCATTTTAAAGAGGTCTACAATACAGAATGTTGATAAAATTAATGTTTTGCATAACATATAAATGATCTTAATACAAAACTGCAAGATCATAGAAAAGCAACTGAAGTTATGTTTGGACTAATAAAGGAAGTTTCAATGTATATTAGATATTTTTATTAGACATATGGAATCTGGAAAACTTAATACTTTGCCAAAACTGAAATCTTTTCTGAATAAATCAACATTAAAAAAAAAAAAAAAAAAAAAGAGAGAGAGAGAGTTTACAAAAATTCTTTATTTAGTTACAGAACAATTTTCAAAAATATTCAAAGATTTCAAAAGAATTAACAGGTTCATGAAAATGCAAATCCTCCAGACTTATTTGACAAAGGATTTTAATAACAATCTCATTAATTGGATAAATTAGAAAAAATAGATATGGAGACTGCAAAAGCACTTGCAAAAGTATTTTTCCTGTACCAAGATATGTACTTTCAAAGTCTAAAAACAGACTTCTAACAAATCATAAGAATAGTTCATTTCAATTGTAATCATTCAGTCCTCAATCCTCGCGAGTGAAGGTTGCTCATCATGAGCTCTCTGACTACGACAAGTGAATCGAACAAAGATGAGAATCTATTGATGGATGTTAGCGCCCCTTCGGAGCCACCTTCTATCAAGGAAAGCTGTGTGGGTCTACCACCCGCAGATATTTTGGATAATAACAATGCTGATTACTGGATGAATCTTCTCAATGATTTAGATGTCAAGACTGCAGCGATTAAGACTACTATTACTGAATGTCAGAAATTACGACCAGTCACGGATGCAGACACGACAACGGAACGTCTTCTCAAAACTCTACATACGCTCCAGACCCAGGCTGCAGATATAAATAAAAGGTAAGTGTAATCTTCCTTGTAATTCAGGCCTTGGCCCCTAAAATGTTTTTACCCTTAAGAGAAAAAATAGTGATGCTAAGGTAAAATGCAAAATTAATAGCAATTCTAAGAAAGTTGATAATGAATGATTCAAATTACCGACTTAAACTGCTAAACTCCAAAAATTAGAAAAAGTACCTTTCAATGTTGAATGTATTAATAAATTTAATGCGTTAAATGATAAAAATGATGATAATGCTGAAAATATTAGTAATGCCACGCCCAGCCAACAGGTAGTGCAGCAGCAACCGAGAAATAACCAGTCTCAGACTTTGCCTCCCATAATGGAAGATTTAAACATGAGGAATTTCTAAAAAAATTATCATTAATGACTGAAGCAAAATTTATTGGAAAAGTTAATGGTGAGCTGTTAAGATTCTGCCACGGACTGCCGAGGACCACAGAATACTTAGTGCTTGATTTCAGGAGAAAAAGATCGAACACTATGTAACAAATGCTAATTATGCTTGACCTATTAAAGTAATGTTTAGAGGGTTATCCAACACTACTAAAAATGGATGATACAGCCAGTACTCTAGCAGCCAAAGGTTTCTCCATAAGCAAAGTAACTCAATTAACTAGACGGAAAACGCATGCTTCTGTGTCATTATTTCTGGTACAAGTAATGAAAAATGAAATATCAGACCAAATCTTCTATGTTACTGATCTGTTACTCTTTCCTGTGATGGTGGAGAAGTATGTATTCAAGAACCAGGTGCCACAGTGCTATAATTGCCAAAAGTGGCACCATTCTTCAGAGAACTGCTTCTTCACGCCTAGATGTGTGAAATGTTCAAACATCTAGGCTTTTAGGAATGTTTTCAATTTATAAGAACGACATCCCACACAACCTCCTCACTACACTAGCACTTTATGCAGATGACACTGTGATCCTCCACCAAAACGCATCTATGGCCGCAGTTGTACAAACATTACAAGAACACATCCATGCACTAGAGTCCTGGATGATAAAATGGAAAATTAAGACGAACGTGGAGAAATCAGAAGCTGTTTACCTCTCCTACCTGGATTTGGATATCACTCTGAAAATGTATGGTATCAGTATTCCCTGGGACAAGCAACTTAATACCAAGGTGTCACTTTAAGACCAAAAACTCACATAGGCCCACACGTTACATACATATACTTAAAATAAGTTTTGGGGTGTTAAAGCTTCACTCAACCCCCTAATTGCCCAAAACTCGAGTTTGTCTATTCGAAACAAAGTTCTTGTATTCCAATCCATTATGCATCCCATCATCACCTATGCCTGTCCGGTCTGGGGTTTTCTATGTAAAAGTACTATGAAAAAAAATTCAACAAGTTCAAAATATGCCTTTAAGACAAATGGCCAATTGCCCCTAGTTCATTAGGAACAATGCAATTCATTGTGAACTTAACGTGGATAAAATTAATGTACGCTTTGCAAAAATTGAAAGAAAAGTTTTTAGGAATATCCACAAGATGAATAACAGCTCCATCCCACAGCTGGATTATAACTACCAAGATAGAGACAACAGAAAACGACTGAAAGTGATCCTTTTGCATCTAATTATGTAACTGTTCTTTGTTTTTGTACTCCCCATGCTACTTAAAATATATATATCTTTTGACAACTTAAAATTGGTTTATTTCCACTAAATTTAACTTTGTCTTAAATTGCAACACAGGTGTCACCACCTATGATTTAAAATTTTAACTACTATTAGACTGTGAAGCATATGTGTTGCCAGCTGATAGCAACTTCTGTCACTTACATATCGCCAAAAGTTATGTCTTAAAATTTCTCAGTTAATTTGTACTTTTTCCAACTTAATCTTTATTTTAATTTAATTCAATAGACATTTAGGCCTATTATTATTGCATTCCATGATCTTTTTACAGTAAAACAGACTTACTCCAATTCTCTACATTGGATCGTAATGTTATTTCTTTTTTAACCCCTGCTCCCGACCAATGCCTGATTTGCAAGTAGATGCACTTCCTTTACAGGTTCACCATTGGACAAGACAACCATTGGACAAGACTCCGCTCCCTGCAACCAAGTATCTCCAGAGACAACGCCTTTCAACTCAGTCGAGCTCTCGCCATTCTGACGATTGCACACAGCACAAGATATTGCATGTTTAGCGTAATGGTAGGGCAATTGCATTTACACCACCGGACATCTTTAGGAGAACTATCTTAACGCCTGCTGCATCTGAAGATTTAAACATCACACTTTCACGAGATTTTTATCTGAACTACGAACTTTGTCACACTAGGGTAGAAAAGTTATACCATTTTCACATGAGCTCAACACAGGATGTGGTTTGATAACCCGGGTGCTTGCTGACAAGTGTTTCTAACACTTGAGTCTTCAATTATAATCATTATTAAAATTTAATAATTTTTTTGTAACATTTTTTTATATTGAATAAATATTGCCCTCTATCTTTATGTTTGTGAAAATTTGCAAATTAATATTTGTTTGGCATGCTATTTTAACTTAAAATCCTATTTGCCATCACTGGTACAGGCTATTAAGGAATGATAGCAAAATGAGTTACTAAATCATGCTAACATAATATGCAATTCTCAGCATATCTATGAGACATATAACAGGTAACTTAGAATCATTAGATGAAACACCCTTTATCACGATGCCAATCTAATAACAGGCATGGCAGTTACAAACTAAACTGGGATCTGACTTTTCAAACGACTATGCTCAAATCTGTTAACCATCAGCATCCAGACAAAAATGCTGTAAGAGTAATAGAATTCATTACTACAAACGATAACATTCTATTCATGATTTCAGTTAGTACAATCTCTGCACCAAACCTGACAAGTACTGCAGTGACAGTTACTATAATGGTTGCATGCTGCACAAAGAAGCTTCTAGTTTATGGTTCCAATTATTATAGTTCATATATATATCTAAGGCATATGACATAAAGCAGCACTTCATATTACAAATGCATCAAACATTTCTGATAAGGCATGCAAACATCTGTTAGCTTGCACTAATGCCTCTATGACACATACTGAACTTTCATGTTATTGATGTCAAAAGCATGCACAGATATGTATAATGCTGCATATGTGAAATAATATGACATGCAAACCTTAATGGTTCACACAAATGTATAACATTGCCTCTCTGAAAAGTATGCAAATGGGAAGGATTAAAATAAAATATAACTCCAATTACCTGAGAATCACATAGCAAGAGGATGAATGTGAAGCATGCCTGCAGAAACCAAAGGTCCACTGACTATCAATATTTGTCAAGACAAAGGAAAAATGTTGTACTGCATTGCTAATAAGATAAAAAAGTTAAAGTTTACCATAATACATATTTCAAATAGGACTGCACACTTATAAATGAAATTATTTATTAAACACAAAATAAATATCATTAGTAGTTCATCACTAAATAAGTTATTAAAATAAATACAAAAAAAATGAAGGCATGAAATAAACTTTAGTGTTTTCTATACTTAAATATTTTTTTACACAGTTTATTAAACACTTAAATGAATTAAAATTACTTGGTTAAGGATGTCAAGAAACATGAGTTGGAATGTCAAAAAACTGAAAAGGTACTAAAAAGTTATCTGCCATTAAAAACAAATGATATGATTTACTGAAAAGAAATGGCATACAAAATTGCTTTGTTGAAAATACTTAAAAGGTCTCAGTGTGACCTCAGCCAGCAATTTTTCAGAGCTAAGATGTTTTCAACTTCTTGAATTCGGGTAAGATGTTCTTGATGCTACTTTAATACAGACCTCATAGAAGAATTTAATATTAGGAATTGCAAAAGTAGCTCTAAAAGAAAAATACAGTTCAATACAGAAGGGCTTGGAGATTCTTACTAAGGATTTTAATATTGATATTTTTTATCGAGGCCTCTGATTGATATTTTTTATTGAGGTTTGTTCATACTTTATTGAGGAGCAATAATTCACTATTTGGATATATACTTAAAAATATGACATACATAAAAATCTAAAGAATTGCTGATTTGTACAGAAGGTTTGATTTTCAGTGGAACACAACTATTATGAGTGATCTCAGCTAATCAGACTTTGACAACTTAATAATTTTTTCCTCACTAAAACATTACTGAGTTCAAATTTATAAATGTTCAGATTATACAAAAGATTTACTAGGTAAATTTTTAATATAACAAATTATTTTAAAGTCTTTTAACTTATTATCTGACATTGAAGAACTTTACAAACATATAATAACGCTCATTTCAAGGCATTAGTGAAAGGTGTTACTTTTTCTAAGATCAAGAGCTTCATAAACACGTGGCCTTCAATTTGTGCCGGGTATGCATTCCTGAATAAACAGGTACATATTAAAAGATTTTATACAGCAAATCACTGAAGTTAAAAACATGCAATTCCAATAGCCTTATATGAATGTTGCACTTACAGCTTTAAAACAGCATAAAAATAATAATGAGAATTTAAAAATGAGTACCATAATCACGCGATATCCACATGCATATAAATACATCAACCTATTATAAATTACATAATAAAAATATATTTGATTTCTACAAAGATTAAGATTGTTCCTTACATTCTCAGAAATCTAGAGTGCTAACAGCCAAAATGGCATAAAAGACAAGATATAAAAATTTATATTTTAAAAGTAGTTTTTATCAATTAATAATATTACACATTCAGGGTAATGTACTTGGGAAATAAATTTTCTCGCTTTTCATGTTACATTATACAGAAAAACACAATTTCGTTAAAATTATCCATATAAGTACAAAATTCGAAACAATAGTTTAACAAATGTGTGTGTGTGATTATGGCAAAGCCTCGAGGGCTATCTGCCTAAGGGGAGGGATGCCTTCATGGAGGACTTTCTAAGGGAAACTGTCTCGTATACACGTTAAATATGGGGGAAACCACGAAAATGACCATGCAGCCAGCCCGTTTGCAGATTTGAACCTCGGACCGAACTACCAGTGTTCAGCGACTTTATTGCTCGGCCGCTGGTAGGCTCCTATTATAATAAATGATACACAAGCAACATCAATTTTATACTGAAACAAGACACATACTTTTTAAATTCACAGGGATAGGCAAATCCAGGCATGGACTTCAGTATCTCCTGATATAAAATAGAAAAAAAAAAAAAAAATTGAGAAATAATTGAAAAGTGAAATATTTAACATGAAAGAAACAAAAAAAAAGAAACACACATTTACATTAATATATATATATATAAGAGCATAATTATTAAGTCTGAACAATTGGAGAGAGGGTGCGATAAGCTAAATTCCCCTGATGAAGGAAGAGTTTTTCAGTGGCAAATAAGGTTGTATTTCTGAATTAACAATAGGTATATTTGTTTGAATAATTTGACAGGGTGCAATACTACTTTACTTCACAGTTTCCTTTATTTGATTTACAGTTTTTGCTACGGAAACAACACTAGCCTAAGGAGAGTGATTGTGGTCCACAAAATTTTGACTTGTTTGGTTTGGTTTATTCAATTGGCAAAGCACTTGATGACTATCTGCCTAAAGGAAGGAATGCTTCGTGGAGGGCTTTCTAAGGAAAACTGGCTTGTATACACATTACACATGTAGAAAACCTCGAAAATGCCCATTCCAGGCAGGATTCGAGCCCCAGGATGAACAACTAGCGTTTAGCTACTTTACCGTTCAGCCACTGGAGAGCCCACGAAATTTTGAGGATAATGTCTTTCATTACAAATTTTTGTTGCTGCATGTAATTTTCCCATTTCCGTGATTCACAACACCAATAATACTTACTTTTACGATTTCTTTCACCATTAAATAATCACAAACAGTAATCTTTCCACAAACGTTTTTGGACCAAACAATTTAACTTCATTATTAAGGGTGAACTCTAGATCATATATGTATATGGATAGCGCATTATGCCAAATAAGAGTTTCCTTAAAATGGTATGGACATAATTAGTGCATGCTCCAGCAATTCTTCTGCACCTATTCAACAGATGCCTGCACAAAATGAACTGGTCGCTCAACAGTTGGTCAACCTTTTTCTAAAAACAATCTTCTCAAAATAATCTCTCAAAAGACAATCACCCCCCAAGCAGCCAACAGTGGGCAAGTGATAAAATTGATAACACTGGGTAGTTTGGTCTGGGGTCCAAATCCTACGGAATGGGCTTGCTGCACGTGCTTTTTCCCATGTGTAAACGTGTATATGAGCCAGTTTTCCTTGGAAAGTTCTCCACAAAGGCATCCCTTCCCTTATGAAGATAGCCTTCAAGTGCTTTGCTGCAAATAAATAAAACAAACTAACCTCATCTGGGACATATTTTTTTAAACTCTTTTTAATGATATTTCCAGAAATGTATTTTAGGTCTTTATTTAAATCTTTGAAATGTTGATTCATTGGCATTTCAAACTCTCCGTATTTTTTTAAATGTTAATCTGTCGCCATTTTAGATAGCTGGAATTTGGGCTGATGGGTTTATGGGAGTCACACAGGTGTCACACCCAATCTGATGATGGGTGTTTAGTGCAAAATGGCACAATAAATGCCTGCTAGCATTTAGACTTATTTGACTGAATTCACGTGGAGTCGAATGCATTCCAAAGGGAAAATATTCTCTGCTATATTGCAATTTTTATTATATGCCTGCTGTTTAGTCTTACTTTAAAAAAAAGTATTAATTAATTATTATTGATGTAACTTACCAAGCTGATAGCAACATCAAATCAAGTCCATGAGTTCATGAGACCTGAAATGATCCAGAAATAATTCCTGACAGGAATAAATTTGGTCTTAAAGAGAGACAATGCACAAAATGATATGAAAAGGAGTAGCTTGTGAAGAGTTGTAAATAAGATATAAAGGATAAATCTTGCAACTGGAAATGCATTTCTTTTGATGCAGATGACTACTGCATAATCTAGTTTATGTAGTTTGGGTTTCTTTGCTGCTACTTGCCTCATCAGGCAGCATCAGAGATAGTTTTCAAGAACAAACTGATGTTAAACTTGATCCAAGATGCAAATTCCACAACAGAAAGGGAATTACAGACTAGTGCAGGAATGGGCAAACTAGTACCTGTGGGCCAACTCTGGCCTGTGGCAAATTAAAATTTTTTTATTATATTTATATAATAAAATTTTACCAGATCTTCTTTGTCATATGATCAACTTAAATATCAAGATGCCAGAAAAAAATAAATTTATCACTGATATCTGGGCTCATCTCAAAGGTATTAAACTAAAATTTGATCTGTTTGCTGGGCAGCTAGCTAAGAATGGTTTATCTCATTTTCTGAGGTTTAATTTACTACTCTCAGTAAATGAAGACAAGCTTAAGAGTTATGAAAATGGCCTGAGAAAACTGCATTTTGTGTTTGAATACAGATTTCAATGTAATTCAGAAATACCATGCTATCATGCCTTTCAACACAAATTGTGAAGCAGTGAGATCGGATTTGCAGCTTGAATTAAATTAGTAACACTTTAACAATCATCTCAAGCAGTTAGTTAATGTTCCAAAATTAGAATTTAACAAATCATTATTGAAAGCAAGTTTCTAAATTTAATATATCACATCCAGAAAATTAGTGCTATATTTGTTTCATCTTATATATGTGAACAAATGTTTTCTATCATGAACCATAAGAAAGAATTCTATTAGAAATAGACTGACAGATGAGTATTTAGCATCACTTCTCAGAATTAGTATAACCCGAATTTAAGGAAGTTTTAAAAAATGCAGTTGCAGTTTTATTCATCACATTAATATTTGTATATATTTTTTAAAGTTTTAGTATAAATTATATTGGCTCGTTAAATATTTTTCTTTTATTTTTTGGCTCACTTCGAAAGAAGTTTATCCATCACTGCTCTAGTGTATATGTAAGACTACCCTCCTCAGACAACTATCACTATTTCATTTCATGACCACATTTCCATTATTTAGAGAGATGCTATATAGAGTTATGGCTGATATTTAAAATCCAAGCATTTTTATTGACATTAGAAGTCATACAATAATTTAATGCTTCCAAAACTATTAGAAGTTATTGGGAATTTTCTTACTAATTTTAGCAACACCACTCTTGTTCTTGATAAGAATTCTGCTATCAGAAATATCTCTACATTGAGTCTATATAAATCTTACAGCATCATTCAATGCTTTATGAATGAAGTAAGTTTTTTTTAAAATTTAGAGTTTCAAAGCTGCAATAAATAGAAATCTCATGGAAACATTCTCAGGGAAAAAAATTATGTCACCTCCACCATAACAAAACATTATAAAAATAAATAGTACTTTCTGATTATTTGTACCCCAAGAAACATGCCAACTAATTTGTGACTTTGTGAAAATCATTTGTTGGACTGTTTTTATGGTTCACAGATACTGTTCTAATACTGACACTAAATCATAAGAAACAATTTATTTAAAAAAAATCTATACAGCCAATATTTACATTTTTACAACTAGTGGTTACAGTTTAGTGAAATGCCCATTAAATACAGAATGTGCAAATCTAAACTAAAACATATATATGGTATGTGTATGAGTGCATTATTTATTGTCACTTGTATGTTTGAAAACACACTAAAGATGGGCAATTCCAGCAAAAGGTGAAACCAAAGCTACAAATAAACAGAAAATACCCAATAAATAATAAAAATAAATAGTATAAAAAGCATTATTACTCACTTTATTTTTGAAATTATATGGATACATCCACGTAATCCATGGATCTAATTTAAAGGGAGAAAAAATTAGAACCTTATTTTCACTCCATTATATGAAATAATTACAAAAAACATTAGATTAACAGGTATTTAAAGAAATATAAAATTATGCCTAAAATTTTTTAAAAATTATTTTTTTCACATTCAAGTAATATAAATAGCTCCCTCCCCAAAAAATATTTTAAAATTACCTTGATTGAAATCTGATGGAATGGCAATTTCACAAAAAACTTCAAACACATGCAATGGATTTTTTCTATAAAAGATGACACAACATAATTAAATTAAGAATCAAAAAGAACATAAAATTTTATAACAATACACATATACACAACAATACACAATAATAGAAATATTTAATAAAATGTCAAAAGCAATATTAATTTTAAAATTTAAAAGAAAATCTTTTAGAGCAGTCAAGAATTTAAATAATTCTATGAGTTTGCCTTAGATAATGGACATATAATTTCAACTCTCCCAAGCACAGTATCTAAACTGTTTTTATAAGATTATCTGCTTTATTTGAGAGATGTCATAAATAGAAGTATGTATTTGGGATCCACATTTTTTAAAAATACAGCTTGAAGCCACTTTTCTTAAACAACTAATACATAGTATGTATATTTACAAAACAGAAAAAATTATCTTCACCTAGCCATGGAATAAACTAATAACACAGCTAAAATAAGCTTCACAACTCTTAATGTATGTGATCCCCATACTTTTTTTTTTATCTATCTAGATGTTTTGAGGTTTGTACAGTTGATCCCTCTATATTCAAAATGGTTATATATGAATAGAGCTAGTCTCTATTGAGTAATCTTTCAAAAAGACTTCATTTTCCATAGGCAGATATCCCAAATCCTATGTCATAATAAAAATTTCTGATCTAATCCAATTCAAATACTATTCAAATTATGAAGTACAACAGCCCATCCAGGATTGTTAAACCTGGGTTAACTAGATTATTATTTTATAAATACCAAATGCATACAAGAATTGCTCGGGAAAAAAAAAAAAAAAAAAGAGAAGAGACTGAACTTTCGCTATTCTTGCTTTATTACTAATTATACAAATTTTCAATCATTATCCCTTTCAAAGTAGTACCCTCTAAAGCACGCTGGAAAACATTATTTTCATAGGCATGAAGTACTTTCATCACATTTTCCTGAATTTCCTCTATGAGCTGGAAAGAATGTCCTTCCAAAATTGTTTTAAAATTGGGGAAAAAAGTCTAAAAGAGAACAAGTCTAGAGAACCATGTGGGCAGAGCACCATTTTGTCAGATAATTGGTAACACGGAGTGATGCGCAAGCAGGAGAATTTACATAATAGAACACTTAAGTAGACAGTAGTGGAATTTAAAGAGATTCCCCTATTGTTCAGATCTGTTTCTATTGTCACATTTTGTAATTTTTATCGAAATAACAGATGAGCTTCTTAGTAAGACATAAATTTTATTCTCGATTCACAAAGATAGATAATTTAAATACAATTCTATAAAAGTTACAGCTTCACATTCCAGCTTACTATTACAGTTTCTTTCTCTATATATTTTTCATACATCTCCTACTAGTAAAACTTTCAGAATAACTACTTTAAACATTTTCTGACATTGCTCAGCAATGGTTATACACTACAAATATCGCATTGTCACTCCATACTGTTGACATAGAAGATTGTCCAGTTCTTGGATCTTCGGCAACAAAATTTCTGCCCTCTTTAAGCACTAAAACTATTACACTGAATTTGGATCATGCAATCAATATCACTAGTTAAGTATTTAAAGTTAAGAACTATTATATAATATGACTAGTTAAGTATTTAAGTATTTAAAGTTAAGTTAAGAAAGTTTTCTCCAATTTTACATACAATTTCACATACATGTGTTTTCCCTACAACTTCTTCTTTTTTGCTTTCTCACTAATCTGAAGAGCAGCTTAACACAACCTTATTTGACTGGTAGTTACTCGTGAACTAATACATAGATTAGAACCCAATAAAAGGTGATATGTTACCAAAATATGCCACAAGATGCAATCAGTAGCTATTCCCATGCTACTTGAAACCATTCGCATGCAATTCCATCTAGTCTTTTTTTGAACAGTCCATATATTTAGTAAACTCATAGAGAGAAAAAATTTTTATATTTCAATGTAACTTATGTTAATTTTTATAATACATATATAGTACAAAGTCCAAGATCTGAGATTTTCAGGACTTTGTGGTTCTGGATTTCAGAGTTGCTAAGATTTTGGATCATAAGTTCAAATCTAGCATACAGAAATCATAAAATAGTTGTAAATGAACTAATGAAGTCTTATGACCTTAAGGGAATCAAAATTTACACATAAATACACAAAAAAGGAATATTATTTGTTTGCTTTATTAAGAATTTCTTTCAATGCAAATTGTTTTAAGTTGCATTGTTTTTGTATTAATAGTTTTCCTTTAATTTTAAATAAAGAAGTAATACATTGTTCAGTTATAAAGTTCCACTGTTTAAGGTCCTGTAACTGCAATGCTTACTAAATTTTAAATTGAATTGTTTTCATTCTCAAGAACCCATCACTTATCTCGCTATCGGTAGCAATATTTTTAGCTGCTTCAGAGTTAAAGAACTAAAAAATTTTTAAATCTTGCTAATTTTCACAAGTAAAGAAAGGATGGGTTTACTTAATTACAATTGAAAAATGTTCAATCATTAAGAAATATTTGTTTGCGTTTCCTTTCAATATGTGTTTTTGTGATCCCAACACCACTTATTTATATGACTAATTTTGAGTACTGATTTAACGCTACTGGAACAAATTTTTAAATTACCAATTTTAATGACCTTATTTCTCTAGTGATTTCTTTGAAAAGTCCAAATAAATGTAAATCTCTTTCAATTTGCTACTACTCATGCCTTGAAAGATTGTTCTGATACAGATAATTTAGTAGTCATGTAGTATAGTATATGCTTTTAGTTATTTATTAGATGCCACCACAAAAATACTATTTTAAAATCTAAATATGTGATACAATGGTGGGGAAAAAGAAATGACTAAAGCAACAATCAATTTTTGTGCTGTTAATATGATTACTGATAATTTATTCAATGTGCTATAAAGGCATGGCTTAAGAATTTTTACTTTATTTTGAATAATTCGCATAACAAAACAGGCAAATTGAGAACCTTAGTAGATTTTGTATTCGATTTTGAGGGTAAAAGATTTTAATCTCGAAATCGATTGTTTTCCAAAATGAATATTATTGCCAAATTGAAGGACTAGCTATGGGTAATCCCCTCAGTCCTGTACTTGGTGACATTTACATGCACTATTTTGAGGTCAAATTATTTGAAAAACTATATTTTCGTCGGTGGATTCGCTACGTAGATGACACTTTCGCTCTTTTTGATCGTGAGAAGGAAGACTTACACAAGATTTTATCTGTTATAAATTTGATTGATCCAGCTATCAGTTCACTTTTGAGACTGAATCTGAAAATACATTTCTCTTCCTTGATTTTTCTGTTTGTTTACCTTCCCATGATATGTCATGTTACCCGGCTAAGCAAAAAAATGGCTTCTTTTTACTATTATGTATTTTGAGCTCTCAAAGTTAGTTCCTCAAAATCTCTTCTTGCTAATGAACTCAATTATTTAAGATCTGTTGCCCTTGACCGAGGATTTTCTCCTGCAGTCCTTGATAAAAATGTTCGAAAGTTCTCATCGTGCCATCTAAGAACACATTCTGATGTTAGAAATAACATTAATAACCTTGTTGTGCTTCCATTTTATCCTTCTATCAGTTACAAAATTGCACGAATTTTACACAAGTTTAATTTTCAAGTTGTTTTCTTGCCTAATCTGAGGTTCGGTTCTTAAAGATTCTATTTCTGACTTTAATTCATGGGGAATTTATAGCATATCATGTCAGTGTGTGTTACGTTATATTGGCCAAACAAAAAGAGCATTAAAGTTTCGTACAAAGGAACATGAATCTTACATCTGAAAAGGCAAAATTAACAAATCTTCAATAGCTAATCATAGTTCAAAATTCAATCACAATTTTGGTTTTGGTTCTGCTAAAATTATCCAGAAAGCTGGTTCTATTAGGGAATTGGATTTTCTTGAGGCATTTCACATTCACAAAAATTTATCCTGTTTAGGCAATGACTTTAATTCCAATCCAGTCTTGCCTAATGCCTCTAAAATTCTACTAACTTACTTACTCCTTCATTTTTTGTTACTATTTCTGTCAATAGATGGCGCTATCGACTCTTCCACTGGTTCTGTAGGGTATAAATATGATTTATATTCGCTTTCCTACTTTTGCAGAATTTTTTGCTCCTGATGAAGGGGGACCTGCTTTACCCTCGAAATCGATTTTACAAAATCTACACCGAATACAAGCTTATTGACTGCCTGTTTTATTTTCCACGTCGGCGTGTTTCTCTTGTGTCTTGAATTTGCATAACATTTAAAAAATATTTAAAATAAAAAGCACACAAATAATTCAATTATAAAAGCTAAAAATTTAACAGTTTGCAATGAGGTCTATAGAGATGTAAAATAATTTCAGGTTTCCAGCAAAGATAAACAGCCTTATCAGACTTTAAAAACTATGGTTTAAGGATCTGATGACTGGATATTTTCTGTAATCTAAGATATTTATGGAAATCACAGTCTTTTACAGTTTTGCAGTCTACTGCTTAGTATGTGACATATAATAAATATTGCTTGTGATATACAATAAATTATATAAATTTATGTGAAAGAAAAGGCTATATAAATAAGTCAAATATAAAAAAAAACCACTTAAAATCAGAGAGATGGATGTAAAAATACACTACTTGTTAAATAATCAGTCAAATTTTTACTAACTCGCCTTCACCAAAATCTTACTATAAGGAACTATATTAATTCTAGAACACTGAGATAATATTCAATTAATGGTTACAATTTTCCTGATACCTCCCAAATAAGAACTGCTTTCAATTCTTTACATTAAAAAAAAATCCAATAAACATTTTTTAATCCATTAATACCATCTTCTTTGAGATTACTGTATAAGAAAATTAGAATATTTTGTCATTTTTTAAATTTTTTTAACAGTTGTTTGCCTGATACAGTAAATTACAAGTGCTCAACTCTTTTTCAGGTCCCACACCCCTAAAATATTTTAGTATGTTCTGGCACCTTTAAAGCAGTTTCTAGGGAAAATAGAAAGAAAACACAGTTGTATAATGAAATTTTAATAATAATCAAAA